ACTGTGACAGCTGGGGTTTCACATGGTAAATTAGATTTTTTTTTTCCTCCTCTTTGTTAGAATTGTGCTTGGGCAGGTAAAGAGAGAGAGGACATTTGCTGCACAGCTATGGCAAGGTAACCCTGTCCCATATCGTTCAGAGGCTTCTCTATCTCTATCTCAAATTAAACCAGTTTGCTTCTGAGGGCTGATGGGAGAATAGAGTGAAGCTGATCTGTCCAACCTGATCTTGTTTATAGTCAGTATGCAATCAATGATCTGACCTACACTACTCTCTGTCTCCCTTTCTTCATCATGTACACCAAGATAGACAATAATGTAGTCCAAATATGCAAACAAGCTAGGAGGATACTGAGATCAATGAACTCCCACACACTCAGAACACAAATACATGAGCTGTATACTGAACAATTATAAGGTCAACTTTGTTTCATCATGTTTGGTCTGTCACCACAACAATGTCTTTTGCAATAGTCTGTGAGATATTTCATTCTGGACTCAAGTTGTTGGACCACACTGGATGACAGACCAACTCCAAATTTAGTAGCTCATGCAAAATTGTGTATACAGAACTATCTTTTATCACACACTTAAATATAGATAAATTTACTTTGCTATAATATGCCTGTATGACTTTTTTGTGACTCTTAATGGATTAAATCATACAGCTGAATTCAGTTTGTTTGTAAAATGCGTCCTAGTCTTTTGTACCTACGGTATAAAACTAGAGAACAAAAGCTCTCCTCAGGAAATGATTTTCTCTGCTTCATCTCCACACAGCCCCGTTTCTTCCTTTCAAGGAAGGACACCTTGAAAGACAACACCACCTGACTGGAGATGTTCCTGAGAGCAGCACAGTCTCAGGGAATAGGAAGTCTAGATTTAGTCCCAGCACTCTCTACACTTTACTCCACTTCGCTCCACTCTTGTCTGCCTCCCCGGGGCTTTCATGTGGCGAGTGGACAGTGGGGTTAATGCCTAGCTGTAAGCACTGCTTTGCACCAGGTTTGGGTTGTAGTAGGCCTTCCCCCACCAGCAAAAAATCCAGTGGAAATGACTTCCTATGTCCAGCCCTGTGGGCACTTGTGATTTTCCATCGTGCAGTTTCAACTCCCCACCTCTTTATTGCAGCTCACTGTCCCAGAGGGCACAGGTGAATTTGATATGGAGCAATGATTAAAAGTTTTATCCCTCAAGGTGACCTCAATACTAGAGAAGGTGAAAGTCAAAAAGAGAGGCATGGAGATGAGAGAGGGCCACGAAGGTGAAACTTTGTTTTGGACATTTGTTATGGCCCATATAATGATGGCTCAATCCTAAGCCTGGGAATGGAAGACCCTGTCCTTACACTCCTTTTGCACCATTCCTGCCTCTTTGGCTTGTAGTAATCAGTGATTCCTTGTGACATGATGAGTATAAAGCACTGTGCCACAGAAAGGCAGCATGGACAATCTAATCATTGTAACATCACTGATTACCTCTAGGCGTGATGTATTTGAACAGGGTTCTATCAGATCTGCTATTACCTGCCTCTTCCTGCCTTCTGTGCCTCTGTACACATCTTTTCTCTTAACTGTGTGTTCAATCACCAGCACCAGCTTCGCTCGTCGGTGCAGCCGAGTGACCCCTCGACAGTGACGTATGCCAGCGATTAGCCTAGATACAGTTCAATTATGATAAACAGCCAGTGCACCTCTTAGGCCATGATTAAAGCCTCAGCCTGGCCTTGATAAAGAGATCCCATCTCAGTGCCATCACAACCACATTATAAGACACTCCATGGTGTTCTGCCTCATGCTTTTCACATCAGTGTTGCAGAACGTACACTGTAGCCCAGATGGAGCTCATGGCACATGGAGGTAGATGGAGGCTGCTGAGGGGTCTTTATCATTCATACATGGCTGGTGATGCATCCCTGCCCACCTATTTTCAATTTAGACTAGTATTTATTAATAACCTCCACCTTCTTGAAGCCTATCTTACAAAATACCTGCCATATGACTTAAGATGGGCTTAGATATTGAGACACAGAGGGAGAAAAGCCCTAGTGTTGACAAATGGATGAGTAGTGATGAAAAGAAGATATCAGAGGAGCATGAAAGGAGAGAGGGGAAGAGAGCAGAGCATTAATCCAACACCAGGCTGGTAGAGAGGGAGCAAGAATGAAAGACAGAGGAAAGAGGGGTGAGAGAGAGGGGAGGAGGAAGCAAAAGAAAGATAGCCTTTCGGCTGTGTTCTGTCAAGGGAGAAATTACACATTTACGGAGGTTTTTTCAGGCAACGACGGCTTCCATAGATCAAACCACTGGATTTATGAGCCAATTTTCAACATGAAATATAGACACCAAGAATCCATTTTACCCATGTTTACTTGCCTTCTCTCAGTCTTTTCTCTCTCTCTCTCTCTCAATCAAACAGCCTACAGAGTGCAGAAGGGTTTACTCTTGTAATCTTCACAGTGCTTATTAGAGTCGTAGATGAAGATGTTTTGATTGTGGTGATGTGATGATACAGCTTTAAGTGGCAATGTTGTAGAGTGTTTTCCTGTATGACAGGTTGACAAGGAACATTCTGAAGTTGAAGAGAGTTTAACAGGCTTTGCAAAAGATGAGAGTTTAGTAAGAAATGCTTCTATTTTTTTAAGGCTTTTGAGTAATTTTTTTTTTTTTTTGCAGAAATACAAGAAAAAAAATCAGCAAACTCACACTTGATTTATAAGTTAACAGTTTTAACCATTTGTGTAATCTAGAAACCATTGTAGCCTTTGAAAATAGACCGAGACACATGTAAAAATGCCCCAAAAATGTCAGTCTGCATTTTGAAGTAATGAGATAGTATGCAAATTATACTACCTGAACGATATGAACATATACATCTATATACGTAGCTACATAAATATACACGGTGACCAGATCACAGTACTACCCTCTTCCGGGGAAATGTATTCAAAATTTGCATAGAAATTAATGTCTAAATAGGCTAAATGACAAAACTGACATGCAATTAGCAATATTATGGGGAGGAACCTAATGAAGTTTCGGTGGCATTGCCAACCTAAGAAGGAACACTGTTCAATTATCATATTAATGAAGTCATTAGCTGTCACTTAACTTAAATGACAGGTAAGGTATGAATGTCATGATCCTACAATTTACCCAGCAAGTGTATTCAATAGGGGTGTGACCAGATCTTGTGTCACAGGATCTTGCGATATTAAAACATGACAATATCTCTTGTTGAGACAAAAGTCTGGCAAAATTGTAACTCCATGGTCTGTGTTGGTCAGGGAGTAACGGGTTGCAGGGGGAGTGTTGTAGGCGTGATATAGCCACCTTATGATATGTTGATGTGAGTGGCTTCATTCACATTTCTAGCCTGAGAGTTTCTGTTGTGTTTTGATTAGCCATGCTGCTAGCCTAGCCTATTCTACCTTAGCACCAATTCTATCACTAGTGTGTCTGCATTTCTAGATTTAAAAAAAACATTTAACATCCATTACTAACAAAAATACATGGCATGCCATCATGATGTATTAACTGTGGCCCAGATGCAACAGTGAATAGCAGCGAATGCTCAGGCTAACAAGGTAAACAAAAGCCTTCTTCCCATGGGCGTCCATGTTCCAGTCATCCCCATACATGATTGGTCAATGCAGCACCTTTTGCTGGATGATGTCACTGTTCATTGTGGTGAAAATTTAACAATTTTTAAAATTTTATTTAACAAAGAAGTACAAAATCTATACAACAACACTGCTTCTGCCAGGAGATCAAAGTAAAAAAAAAACCCATGAGAAATAAATCATGTACATAGATAAAATTTAACAAAAATGTTATGTTTTTATAACTTTCTTATTATTGACAGTTTTGATTGTATTGTCATAATCATATAGCTCATGACAAGTGGGCGACTGTGATTCAGTGGGTAGAGGAGCCGTCTCCCAACCGGAGGTTCAAATCTCGGTGCCTGCAGTCCACGTGTTGAAGTGTCCTTGGGCAAGACACTGAACCCCAAAGTTGCCCCCAATGGTTAGAGCCATCGGTTGAGCTGGCGCCGCAGATGGCTGCCTCGGTTCTGTACCAGACACAAATTCCTTGTGTGTAACATACTTGGCCTAATAAAGGTGATTATCCTGATTAAAACAAAAAGTGTTCCAAGTTTGGTTTCAATCTGGAGTCTGTCCATTTTCTTTTTAATGTATGTGAAATTTGTCTTTACTTATGATTAATTGCACAAAAAAGTATATATCATTATCATTCAAGTTATCTTCAAAGCCTAGAATAATGTCTCTTTCCAGATGAGCCAGTATCATCTTTTTTCACTGCACAGGGCTGTGGTGCTGGTGTCGGTGTTCTGTCAGTTTATGCTACCTATTGAGAAGTGCTACCTACAATTCACAAAGTGGCTAGGTTTAAGGATGGGGGTGGGGTTAGTGAATCCATGGACTCTGCTACTAAAATAGCACAACTGACAGAACACCGGCCGCGATGAATACAATTCCCCATAGAAATGAATGGAGAGGGCTACGGTTTTTTTGAAACTCAGTCTATAGTTACAAGATCTGTGAAATCATACAGAAGAAAAACTAGTCAGTTGAGTTTGTGGAAAAACCTTTTACAATGCTTGCATATTGTTCTGTCTTTTAGCACATATGATAATTCATACTCAGAAAGTAGAACTGAAGTGACATTCATTACAATATGATTAGTTAAAACCTTTCAAAATGCACTGGCATTGTTGTGCAATTTGTGACTTTCAGCTGAATAAAATGCTATTTTTCCAGTCAAATATTTTGTCATACAAGATTTCATATGATTGTGATAAAATATCGCCGTCTTGTTCTCTTGAACCTAAGATCATGTATTGTCTCATCATGTGAGCTAAGTGTATCATCAAACCCCTAGTATTCAACATTAATTGTCTCCAAGTTAAGATCTCATCTGAGAAGAGTGACAGATGCTTGTAATGTGAAAGACTGCCAGTGAATAAACATGCAGCAGGAAAAATGAAACAGTGAGGTTTATTGAATCACTGACTAAAGCACCTTCAAGGTCACCTGAGGACAAACAACACAAATCAGCCCCACAGGCAGCAGATGGAAGCAGCACCTCCCTGGACCTGGGAGAGGGATGCTGGTACTACAGGCTAACACAAAGAAACATTTCCAGTAAACACTATGACAAGATTAGGCTACAAAAGAAGAAAAAACCTCAGATGGGTCCAATAAGCACTGCGGCCAGAGGTCTGAGTCTCTTCTTTCATTCCACTTCATTTCAATTACCTAGTCATTCCAACCTTCTTTCCCATGTTCCGATTAGCTCAGCCTGGCAATTTACAGTTGATCTTGCCTCATCTAAGGCAGAGTAATGGTGGAAGCCAGGAGACGAGCAGTAATGGAATGAAATGTCACTCAGTTGTTGCCTTTGTCACAAAGATGTGGGGCAGGCCAAATGGGGAGGGGCTGGAGAGGTCTCATTAGTGGGTGTAAAGTGTGTAGTCAGTGCTGCTTCTATGTAAATGGTCAGTGATATGATGCCCTGTTCCCATGTCTCTCCATAACCATAAAACTTGTGGGCGTCTTCACTGTGACTGGAGTAACTAACATGGCCTCTTGTCCTCTACCATATAGCAGCTGGCACTCCTCTCCTCATCAAGGCTTCTTCACCTTTTTCACTGAAGACGAGCTGGATGCCGATTCTCTCCTTTTGCGCTGTAACAGGATGCACAAAGTCACATAAGGGTGTAGCGCGGATTTCCTCCTTCTGCATTTCTAACGATCTTGAGCGTATTTTACTCATTAGCAATCAATGGCCATTTCTGAAATATACTTGCTAAACTGCCAGGTAGGCTCATTATAAATAGTGAATGACAGGGTCACAGTGCCCAAAATATCCAAAGTGAGGCAGGCAGTAGGAAACTGCAGCAATTTTGGTTATTTTACTTTCATTTCTTCCTTTTTTTTCCAACCAATTTGAAATGTTCAGTGCACTGTTGTGCTTGTCAGTGCTATCATGGGAATGTGCCTCTAACTAATACATCTGAAATCACCAGCTCAGATCTTAAAATCACCAAAATAAGTAATTTATATTACTGACTTACCCGCCTTCAAAGATTCACGTGTTGCAAATGATCAGTCGCAAAACGTTTTAAAACCTTTGGTAGTTGCAATGGTACTGGCAATGCATTGTCCACTGACAAATATCTGCACCTACATAATGTCTTATGTATAAACAAGCGGCTAGAAGTGATCCAAAATGCATTCATGCACCAATATGTTATGTAATCCAACAGTAACTGTAGGTCTATAGCCAAGGTTTATCTGGCCTACTAAGGTGTTTTCAGTGAACATTTGAAATCATAATTTGTGGCTGAGTTAGAAATTCAAGATGACATCATCCTGTGCACATAGAAAAAGTTATGACTTTTGTATTTACAAAACAGTTTCAAACCAACAATTATTTGTGAAGTGCATGTGTATCATACACTGTAATTAATTCAACATTTGCAGAAGGTAACAGTGATGGTTTGGATCTAAGCTGTGCAGACTTACTGAGTTCGGGGTAAGTGGTGCTCCTACAACATCGATGACCTGCTCCTTGGCTTCCACCTTGATGTCATCTATGCTAGGCCAAGACTGAGCTTCACCCCCTGGGGTGGAAGCTGTATTGCTGTTGGTGGCGTTGAGCTCCCCACCCTGTGGTGCAGCAATTGGCCCAACCCCTGTAGTCCCACTACACCCGCCTCCACTGCCGGCCTTCAGAAGAGCCTCATAGCGGTGACGCAGCATCTGTTGTTCATATTCACAATTGCTGTGGGCCTGTTTCAGCTCATACAGCAGCACCAGGTCACTACGCAGCTCGTTGAACATCTGTACAATCTCTTCTGTGGGCATGGGGTTTAGGTCTGAATCCACAGACAGACAAAGATAAAAATGATTGAAAACGAGATTAAACCTTTGATTAAAACACAGCTAAACCAATTTACACTTGAGGTTAAAATGATTATTACATTTCCCTGCTGTACTGAAACCCAATACATCATTTAGGATCCTTATATTGTAAGTCTGCTGCAAAGTTCAAAATGTACAACTTTGAAATGCTAGCAGATTGTTAATGTTTATTCACACTCACCCACTCCTTGCTCTATCAGGATCTGCTCAATGGCCTTGATCTTCTTCTGGCCTACTGAGCTTGGCAGTTTCATCTGAAATGCACACAAACACACAGGGAGAGACACACACAAGAGCGTGATTTAAGGTGCCAGGCATATTAGAATAAACCGCTCCACCTCAAGGCTTTTAATTCATATGAAATGCACTTCAGTGGGCCAGATCAAAATGTCTTTATCCACTGAACTCTGCCTGACGGATTAGCAAGAGGGGTACTCCACTTCTTTAGCCATACTAATGCATTTTCCATAGAGAGCGGCAGCTCCTCATCAGTCTTGAAGATGAATAAGAGTCCCCTTGCTGGATCTTACAGATATTAGCTAGTCACTAACTGTATTAATCATCACAGTGCTAATGAGAGACAGCGAGGTTAAAGTCAGACACTCTGGGTTCTCACATATATCAATTGCAGAGTCAAGCTTTGCTAAAACTCTTTTGATATTGACAGTAGTTCAAACAAACTCTGTTGAACTAAAAAATTAAAAGATCAAGCTTTGTAATGTTTTCCATCAGTTTCACCTCACAGAGCAATGGGATTAATTAGGACTATTCCTGACTATTGTAGTTTCAAGTTTCTTCTTTCATATTGGCATTTCAGGTTCCTTACTGGTATTTCAAGGCCATCGTGAAATTTTAAGTTGAAGAGGTGTTACAGAATATGCTTTTGCAGTTTTAATACCTCAGTAGTAGTAGCTATACTCACCCTCTGGCTGCGCAGTGTGACTCCCGCTGATTTGAAGTCAGGGAACTTGATGCCTGCTGTCTCTGGAACAGCCTAAAGAAAGATAAATAACTTAAAAGAGGTATGACACCCCCCTAAACTTTGGATAGACTTGGCATAAACATAAAAATATTTAAATAATTGGTACAGGATAAATCAGGCCTTTACATTTATTCACAAACTTAGACACAAATGGTCCATCAGTTTCTCTGGGACAAATTTGTTCCATCAAAATCATATAAAACTGTGTTGAACACAAAACATTAAGACTGAGCTGAATCTTAATTATTGTACTATTGCACTGAATAAGCACTATCAAGAGTTTAGCATTTTCTTTCCCCTAATGATGTTAAGTGCTGGTAAATATTCTTAGTTGTGAATGGCTGGCTGGTGCTTTACTTGGCTTTTTTGTGTCGGTACATATTTTACCGGTTTTTCTGTTTCTCTTTTTTGTGGGAGCTTCTTTTTAGAAACCCTTTTTTCAGCTCGCCGTAACTCTGTGGTTGTGTCGGCTGCTTTAATGAGCTTCTGCAGATCCTGGGCTTTCTTCTCACGCTCCTTCTTCCTAGACTCAATCTTCCTAAGCTCCTGAATAAGATACTCCTCTTCTGCCACCTGCAGGAAAAACAAGACAAGTGCAATCTTAATATTTATATGGCTGGCAAACATCTTACAAGCTTTGGCAATATTTATAAAAAAAAAAATTCACATAAAGTATTACTGTATTAATAATTGCAGTTATAATGTGTGTGTCCTCAGGATGTTGCTTCTCATCTTGGCTTTGCAATATAAGCATTAAAGCTTTAGCAAATGCATAGGAATCCAAGTTAAAAAAAAGTTACTAACTTGTTCAGGTGTGCGATTGAAGAGCTTCTCCAGCTGCTCTTTGCGACGCCTTTCATGGCCAGCATCAAAGATGTAGATTTTGGGCTCCGTCCCTGAAACTGCGCGAACCTTCGTCAACTTACCACAAATACTATAATATCGTTCTTTCAGGTCTTCCACAGAACGTTTCTGAAAAGCATAAATGGAAAAATGTTATTTAACTTAGGAAATTATGGTTTTTGCAATATATCCTCTATGAATGAGAACAGAAGTACTGTAGGTGAGTGACTGAGCGATTACTCTGTACTGCTGGTGGTCATAACGGTCGTGGATAACTATGAAGCGCAGGTCAAAGCGCTTGCACAGGTCAAACAGGTGGTCCGTCTCTGCTTTAGTCCAGCCATCGTCATGGAGATGCATTTGATACTCCTGCTCCGAGTACACAGGTACCTGCACTGTCTATAAATGTAGACAGAAACACAAAGATAATACAGTGAATCCGGATGAATAAGAGTGAGTGCATACATCTGAAAAGAAGCCAATGACAGAGGATGGATAGCTGTAAAAATCCATTCTTTGTGTGTGCATTTTACATAAGTAATGAGACTTAAAAGGAGAATGTAGTAATCCTACCTTGTTAAAGCGAGCAAAGGGGTAGTCCTTGCCCTCCTCTGCCACACGTCTCCAGTGGTGAAATATGGCCCCATCCCTGCGAGCTGGATTGGTGAAGGGCATCCACTTCCAAGGCCGCACTTTTTTACAGCCAAGCTTTGCTTTGACTGTCCTGTAGCCCTGAGTAGTGTCACTAGGCAGCAGAGGTGGTGCATCTCTGGGGATTAAGAGAAAAAAATAAGACTGTGTTAAAGCAAGAAGAAAGGTAATATGTGAAAAATCTGCTTCATGTGATTTTACTTGCTCAATTAGTATATTCAGCCCACACAGATAAATGATATAATTCAGTCTGCAAGGTCAGATGGTCCAATGACATGAAGAGGCAGTACAAATTACTAGCCTTGAAAACCTTAGGACAGGCATCAAAACAACATGCTGCAAAACAGACAACAAGCTCTCCCTTACAAAAACAAACATTAACCCTTCTGGTGTTTCAGTGTACGTGCCACTTAACTTGGCTATAATTAGTCTTAGCTTCTGATTTAGACAATAGAAAATAATTGCAGTTATCATTTTTTCATTTTCTTTTTACGAATGTATAATTAACAATTATTACTCTGTTTATATAAGTGGAAAATGCTCACATCTCTCCCTTTTATCCTAACCCCTGATTTTAAGAACTTAAAAGCTTTAAGAATAAGTAAATAAGTGATTATATAGAGGACTTCATGAGAACTCTGGAGACCAATTCAAGACAACTGGTACTTTCAAAAAAAGTTCATACTTCTTATCTGAATAGAGCAGAGCATAGACCTCTCTGTGCATTCCCTCTGGTCTCTTGAAGGTCAGAGTTTCCGTTGTCTTCTTGGATTTTTTCTGGGACAGGTGATGGAGATAATCGATTAATTATTGTAATAACAACACAATCCTCTCAATGTCTTGTTGTGTAGTGTTATGTGTTTGCATCCCACTTCACGCTTGACTCTTTGAATACTGGGCCAACATTTTCATAAAAGACAATTATATATGATTGAGTATTATGCTAAGGTTTAAGAATAGTTTTCAGAGGTGTTTACGTTTCCCTCACGACTCTTATACGCCAGAAGACAATATGGTCCACCAAGTTAACGCTAAACTAATCTACTCAACCGCTAATAAAGCTTTATGGGTAAGATTACTGATGAAACGTTTTAATGCTGGGACAGATGTCAATAAGGGCATTTATCTCTTACCTTATCAGAGTTGATGAGGTCTTTCTTGCTGATGGGACCTTCATTATCCCCCCCGGTCAACTCCAGAATGTCCCTGACATCTGCACCAGTAGTCATAGTTGAATATGTCACTTCTCACTACCTGGCAAACGTAAATAAGTCTTACTTAATGCGTTTCTTATCCAACGAATACACTCCTAGCTTAAAACTAACGGTAACGTTATCATTCCTAAGTAACAATAAGTTACTCAAAAAAGGCCAAGTAACTACTCTGTAATGTCGCCGTAAAGGTTTCTACTATACCTATAAATTACAGCGATAGTTAATGACGAATATTCACAGGCTATTGTTAAGGCGATGCTACCAGCTAGCATGGGTATTAGCCACCTCGACCCTACTTCCGGCCCAGGGACTCCTGCTTCTCCTCCTCTTCCTCCTGTTTCTTCTTCTGTTGAATAATGGCGGTTGGCAACTAGGTTTAGGTGTATTACCGCCACCTTCTAGACTGGAGTGTGGATCAGAACGCCATCTACCTACTACTATAAGGATAATAGGATAATCACCTTTATTAGGCCAAGTATGGTACACACAAGGAATTTGTTTCCGGTACAGAACCAAGGCATCCATCTGCGGCGCCAACTCAACGATAGCTCTAACCATCAGGGGCAACGGGGTTTCAGTGTCTTGCCCAAGGACACTTCAACACATGGACTGCAGGCACCAAGATTCGAACCCTCAACCTTCCGGCTGACGACTGCTCTACCCACCGTACTCTCGCCTCCCCCAAAACAAAATAATCCCACTCAGTTCACATTATATTGTTTTGCTCAGTATAAACCTAAGAAGTGTTCTCTATCCTATATCCCCTGAGCTTTTTTTCAACACCTCCGTTGAGCTAACGTTCATTCCACCCCTTTGAACTCTATTTTTAAATAGCTCTTTCTCCTGCCTGAACCAGGGACAAACCATAATAATCCATAGTTCCACAGTTTCCTGTACTCTACACAACTAACATTCCTCTGTATTATGCTTCTTCATCAACATCACTGTACTTTTCAAACTAGTATGCCCAGTCGTCTTCCCTCCTATTCCTAGTACTTTCTCTCATTTCTCTTACGTTCCTTGAATAGTGTAATAGAACTGACCCTTGCCTTCTTTATCCCATAGTTAATTTCTTTTTAATTTTCCTTTTAATCAAACTCTTAACCTAAGCCTTACTATAACTTACTGCAACACACACACACACACACACACACACACACACACATCTCTTTTTTAAGTGCATCTTTTGCAAATTCATCTGCTAGTTCATTACCCTCCACCCCAATATGTGCAGGAATCCAAATTAGCCTAATATTTATTCTGGCCCTCTGACATTTGAATAACATACAAGCTATTTCAAGAATTATATCCTGCCTCGAGTCTGAATGGATGTATCAAATACTCAACAAAGAAGTGCTTGGATCTGATCCAATTAGGACTTTTAATAGTTTATAGTATTCTACCAATTCTAATGTTAGTACAATAGCTAGTAATTATCCTGTGTGTACTGAGAGACTATCATTGATTCTTGTATTTCATTTTACATTTAATTCTGGTATAACTCCTTCTAATCCTCCTCCTTCTTATTGCAATATAAATTGTTGCATCAATTGCGTAACAGGATTCACCAAACAAAATTAAGCATAATGCACCAATCAGCAAGTTGCCATCCAGAAGGACCTTAGCAAAGTCAATACTTTTAACAGCCTTATTCAACAACTTTCTCAACTTTGTTGATTGATTTACCTTGCTTACTCCTATTTGATCACCAAATTTCACAGCACACTTTATATTTTACCTATTCCACCCTTTTAAGTTCTTTTGAAAAGATAAAGACAGATTTAGAACAGACTAATAGTTATATGTCTTTAGGTCTCATCTCAAAGAAAAAAGGTTGAATCAGTGAATGTGGAATTTCTAAAAGTATTATAAATTATAAACCAGCTAAATACTGTATTCTATTAAAAGTTATCATTCCTCAAATTATCCTTCACTTTTAAAAACCAAATGAATCTTTTTTAATATAATGAAGCATAGTGTAGAATGATATAGAAATGCTATAGGCTACTATATAGCCTATTGGTCACCTACCATCAAGATCAAGAAAATGTTAATGAGCACATTTATGTTAAAGCTGAAATAAAGTGACCTAAAATAGTCAAAGGTGTTTTTACAGTAATTTATCTGAAAATGATGTATTATTATTATTGTTCCCAGAGGAAAACAAACTTAATCTATAAAGCACTGCAGATGTACCTCTTGGTATGCAGATCTGAGAAATTTTCAGCATGAAATATGACATGTCTTCATCCGAGACACCAAGTAGGAGTTTGGAAATGACCAGCTGACCTTACTGACAAGCAGTTGCCATTTGACTTCTGAATTCAAAATCACCAGCTCAATTGCCTACCGCTGTAATTTCTAGATGTGTAAGTAATCTGATGTCTCACCAAGTCATCATAGAGCTGAGCATACTAAAATGCATGACATCAAAAGAAAAAACTGCTCACTTGTTGGCCTGGTCTAGTGGTCTTGTGAGCCAGTTGACTGATAGATACAGATGAGCTTCACAAGGGTCTAATGGGCTACAACTAGCCACGCACCCTATGGCTTGAAGTTTCCAGCACATTGCATAGCCTATAAAAGAATCACTGGTTTATAAATGAGCCTAAATGGACTGAGTTGTTATTTTTAAATAAGGGCATACTACTGTGTTATTTACCTACACTAAAATTTTATTATTTTGGCCTAGCGTTAGACAACATAATTAAAACAGGAAAAAACATAGCTAACTGTTACCCATATTATTAACAAACGATCAGTTGTGGTATTTACAACAACGGTTTCCTTAAAAAAGTCACTAAAAGTGCTATTTAAAATCTTCATTAGGCTAGGTTTTCGTGTTTATTGGTCTTTTTCAGGCACTCTTATTTTGAAAATACTGCTTTTTTGCTGTGCTTTATTTTGGAAAGTAAGCACCGTTCGATGGTTTTAAAATTCCCAGCATGCCTTGGTCTTGTCTTGCTCTCCGCCATTTTCGTTAGCTGGTGTCGCAGGAGTTGTTGGTGCAGCTACATTAGCTATTATATGTTTTGTTTATCACTTTTGAAAACTCGACTTGCTAATATAATCGAAAATCGTTTGCGATAACTGCTTTATTTAGCGAGGTCCTGCGTTTTATAAGAAGATGTCCAACGAACAGGCCGAAAATATCACCGAGAAGGTAGGCCAGCAGCAGCAGCAGCAGCCGCCGCCGCCGCCG